ATAATTTGGTTAAACTATGTTTGTTTAAATCATTTCTAACTTTATAATATTTATAATTTTTTGTGTTATATTAAAATTTATTCCAACACTTTGTTGCATAAAATTACTATTCGATATAGAAATATCACCGAGAACGGTAATATTATCTAGAAAGGTAAGGTTTTCATCAACATAGATACCTAAAAACTTTTATATTTACTTCTCTTTTTATTTCAACATAAAAAGAGTCTATAAAAAGTAAGGGCATGTCACGAGGCAGTAATTTTTTTAGAAGTTGAATAAAAAGTATCAATTTTGTTTTATTAAAGTTTATGAGCAACTTATACATTTTAAACCAGTCACAAATTTGTATTAATTCAATGTTGATATTTTGAAATAATGTTGTTATGCAGCTATGATATAAAGAGATTGGTATCATCATCAAACATGACGGTCATCAAATTAGAGACATCATGAAGATTATTAATCTAAATTAGTAATAGAAGGGATCTTAATATAATCCGGAGTGACCCCACAGACAGTTTTATTACTTGTATGCTGTAAATAATAATAACATAATATTCAAAAAAGAATTTTGTGATCAGTTGTATTAAATTTTATAAATCTATGTAAACCCTTATCGTAGGATTTTTCAAAAGATTTAACAATATTGCGTGTAATTTGGGATATTATGTGTACTGCGTGATATTATGTGTTCTGCTGAATTACTGAACTTCTGAACTACTGTTTTTGAAGCCGTAACGATAAAGTAACTATATAGAGTAAATATATATATACTCGTCAACATAAATTGGCTTATCCTAGAGTTTTGTTTTTATGCGTTTATCAAGAATTGGTGATTTATCCTTACTGTTTAAAATTTAACAAGTTCTGTTTTTTTTAAAAAAATCGGTTTTATCGTTTTTTTTTTCAACTCTAAGTAAACGTTCAATAATGAATTCACCATGTGAAAGTTCAATCATGAAACGTTTAATAATGAATTCACCTTGAAGATCAAATTTAGTCAAAATTAAATTGTGAACTTTTCTGTTGTGAAAACTTGTGTTGCGACATAATTGTAAAACACAATTACAATTTTTCTTTTGCAAGCTGTTGTCATTACGAAAGTTTGCATGAGAGACCTCAGTCCTCTATTCATAGCACTCAAAAAATTATAGACAAAAAAAACCAAACTTAAGAATAATGATACATCAAATTAGTTTAGTTAATTATTAAGTTAATTTTGAATTTACATTTTTAAACGAATACGTTAATATTCATATAAATTATATTTTCAAGATTGATTGGACTAAAAAGGCTGGCAGGATGAATGTTCAAAATAAATCTGAACCAGAAACTGAAATCAAAACTAAAAGGATTTTATGTTCAGATTGTTTTTCTAGCATTAGAGCAGGGTTACCACACCAGTGTGGGAAAGAAACTGCTGTTTCCAACCTTATAAGTTTAGCTTTTGATCTTGGTTATCTTCAAGCTAAACAAGTTGCAGCAGGCATACTTAAGAGAAAAATGGAAACTGAAAAAATAGCAAATAGATCCAACTTTTATATATCAATAAAAGGAAAACCACTAACTGTAAAGTTTGGTACACCTGAAAACAAAGCTGCTAGGCGATCTATTAGACAATTATCTTTTCAAATTGTACAAGAACTGTAATTTGTTTTAAAACTCTCACTAAATGGAACAAAAGATATAATAGCAGCTCTAAGAAAAGATATGGATAAAAGTCCATTCATTGAATCAAATATCTTTAAAAAAGTACATGAAATTGAAGAATCCATCTCAAAACTTTATGAACTTGAAAAGGTAATGTAGTATATAAGTATTGACTAATTAAAAAATGCCAAAGAAAAAAATTTCTTTAAAATAACATTTGTTATTTAGATTGAGTTCTTGGGACCAAATAAATCTGTTTTTCGTAGAGATGTTGCATTTATCCAAGAAACATCAAATTTTATTTTAAATATAATTGAACAGCAGAAAATTGATCCATTTAGTACTCTTGTAGAGATTTTTTTCATTCTTAAAATATATTTTATCCTAAAGAGAATAATGTTAACTCTGAAAAGTTTTTAAACAGTGGAGTTCAAAGATGTCAGATCACAGAAGATGTTCCAAAATTACAGTTTACGACTTATTCAAGAAAAACTAAAGTTGCTCTAATTAAATAATGTTCAATTCAATATAGCCTTTAATTTAAATGTGCTAATTCAGTATTTGGTTTATCACCTCATGCTGGTTTGAGAGCATGTCTTTGGTATGAGGGGCTCTCAACAACAGAGTTAGGAAAATTAAGATCTCTGAAAAGCTTGGATTATTGGTACTCAAAATATGTTGATACTGGATTTAACAAAGCTCTTATGAAAGATTGTATGAATGTAATAAATCCCAGAGTTATCTACTTAGAAGATGATCCTGAATCTTTAATACAGTACTTTGTAACTTTAGATCTATGGCCTGGCCTTGATGAGTGGTGAGAGATCAAAAGTATTCTTCAAAAAAGTTACCAAGGTAGAGATTGGGATGGCAACAACTTAAATGTTATCATTAAAAATCTTGATTAACTAGAGCTTGCCATTAAAAGCACATATTATCATCTCACTCCCATTGTTGTCTTAAAAACTTCAGATCTGTTAAAGATGCTTACTTTTGATGCATAGTTAAAAAAGGCCAACTATAGTTAATTTTTCCTGAAATATCTCTGATGGTTGGTTGTCTCCACTCTTATGCAGACCGGAGTAGCCCCTATTTCCGACTACTATTTCAGTCCTTTAAAATAGCCAAGAAAAAATTAAAAAGACCATGTGTCACGGTCATTTTGATTTTGAAAACAATTGGAAACAACTTCTATGGTCCTAAGTATTATATTAAACCATAATTTGTTAGAGTAACACAACTTTTATCCTGGCGGTCAAAATGGGGAACAGTGCTATGTAATTCAAGTTGTTCATGAGATCTGTTAGATTTAGTAAAATTTGTTACACCAGTTCCACTCTACTCTCGTATTTTTAGTTATAATAATATAAACTACGCAATTTCTTTTATAAATAAAATGTTTTGGATATACCTACCACCTTGTTCTTGAGTATTACGTGAAATAGTTTGAGGTTTAATGGAATAGAAGAAAAAGAAATTAAAATCTGGCAAGAAAGTAAAATAAAAGAACTTTTAAAAACTAAATTGGGATTTAATGATAATATTGAAATTGAGAGAGCTCGTAGAGTTGGAAAAAAAGATTTGGGTGAAAAAAGAAAAATAGAACTATTGTTGCAAAATTTTCAAACTATAAAAACAAGGACGTAATTTTGAAAAAGTTTGTAAAGGCAAAACTCTGGAATGAAAATGTGTTTATTAATGAAGATTTTGGCGTAGAAGCAAAGGAGCTACGAGGTAAAAGAAAGTATGCTGAAGTTACTTATAATAAATTAATTTCACGTGATTTTAATTAAATTTTCTTTTCACTTCATATTTATAAAAATATTTAAATTCTGAAATGGATTCAAACCAACTAAACAGTTTTGAATCAATCTCATTTAACTTTTTTTAAACTTATAATTTTTTACTTGATAAAAGAGTTGTTAACAAGACCAAAAGAAGCAAAGCCAAAGCCAAGGCCACACGTTACAAGACCAAGACCAAGACTAAGGCCAAAAGATACAAGGCCAAGAGTTTTAAGGTCAAGGCCAAAATTAAGAGTTACGCGAATTTTATAAGTGTAAATGGCGTTAGTGCTAACTGGCATAAGTGCGAATTGGCATAAGTGTAAAGCAGTTACAAAAACTGGAATAAGTCCGAATTGGCATAAGTGCGAAATACTAATTTGCACTTATGCCAATATTTGCAATTTTATTCGGCGCACTTATGCCAGTTCGCTCTTATGCCAGTTTTTGCAACTGCTTCAAATTCGCACTTATGCCAATGTTTTCAAAATCTTTTGGCGCACTTATGCCAATTCGCAGTTATGCCAATTCGCACTTATGTCACGCTTTGCACTTATGCTAGTTCGCACATATACCAATTCGCGCTTATTTAGCCTTCCGATTTAGAATTCTTGTTTCAATAAAATAATGCTTTGAATAAGAGAAGCGATTTGAAATTTCTTAAATTCTTGAGCTATAGTTCTTGGTTCATAAAAACTTTTGTTACCGACTCTAACCATTTGTGGCAGGAAACCGGAGCATGATTTTTTTTCGCCAATAATTTCTTTCATTATTTGCCATCTGCGTCTTGTGTCATTTTTAAATGCAGTTCGCATTTTACCGACTACCTTTTTTAATGTATTGAATAATTGGGAGTAATAATTTTTCTTCAGGTTTTGAGGAAATTTTTCCAAATAATTTTTGTAGCTCTTATAAATTTTTTCGCTTGAGGCATTTTTTTTTAAAAACTTATATACAACTTTTGTTTTATTCTAGATGATTTTTTAAAACCTCTAGTAATCCAGGGTGTATAGATTGATATTCCAGGGTGTATTGATTGATATTCTTAGTTACTATTGTTTTTTCTACGCACAGCAAAATCCAAAATTCTTGTTTTAAGCAAAAAAAGTCTTAAAACAAGAAAAAAATGACTTGTCCGCCACGTAAGAATATTTTTTCTTGTTTCAAGAATTTTTATTTTTAAAACAAGAATTTTTTTCTTGTTTCAAGAATTTTTTTCTTTTTTCAAAAATTTTTATTCTTAATGTAAGAATTTTTTTTCTTGCTTTAAGAATTTTTATTCTTAATATAAGAACTTTTTTTCTTGTTTCAAGAATTTATATTCTTAAAATAAGATTTTTTTTCCCTAATTTCAAAAACTTATATTCTTAAAATTATGTATTTTTTTCTTGTTTCAAGAATTTATATTCTTTAAAAAAAATCATTTTTTACTTGTTTCAATGTTATTTTTATTTAAAATAAGATTCTATTTTTTTGTTTCAATAATATTTCTCCTGAACTATAAAACAATATTACAAAAGTACTTTTTCTATGGAAAAAATGAAACATTATTTTGAAATAAGGATGATATATAATAAAAATATTCAAAAAGCATTTATACATTTAAACAACAAATCTAATCGTTGAAATAAAAAATTGTTCTTTGGAATGTTTTATTATTGTTCATGCTTGTAGTGGCAATACTTCTCCCATATCCATGACAAGTGTATTCCAATAAGTCCCATCACGAAGTCAGAAAATGAAAAACTTCATAAAATAATCACACATAATAATCACTTCGTCTCCATAGTACCAATGGTTCTCCCTTTTAGTGATTTTTAAATGAGCTGAAAGCCTTTTTGTATGTCGTCTGTTACGTAGAGATAACAATTTTTTAAATCTGAAAATAAATTTTACAAACTCAAAATTTATATATATATATATATATATATATATATATATATATATATATATATATACATATATATATATATATATATATATATATATATATATATATATATATATATATATATATATATATATATATATATATATATATATATATATATATATATATATATATATATATATATATATATATATTAAATGAATAAAAACAACTTTTGATGGAACTGTGAGTTTCATGCCTTTCGGCAATCATCAGCCATTGTGTATTTCGTCACTTAAAAAACGGTTTAAAAATTACAAATTAAAATTACGGTGGAACGAGTTCTGACCAAACAAAACAAAACAAAAAGACGTCAAAGGTTTTAGTCCCCGGTATCAAATAAGGATAGTAAAAATTTTTTTGAATGCCGGCACTTTGATATTATTTCATATCTTTTATTAAGTAAGTTTTCTCCTTTATATGATAATATGTGAAACTTCTCGCGAAGACAAAGATTACAAACTTTTGATGCTTGATTGTAGGGCTTACATTGTGCTATTATCTTCCATGTAATCACAGGATTTATATGTTTCGATTTTAGCTCCCATAATTCTTTGGAAAGTTCAGTGTCATTTTTATATTTGGGTGCATTGAAAGATTTAAGATGGTTGGCATATCTTAATTTAAATGTGGTTTCACTTATACCGAAATAAACTTTATCTTTGCATTGAGGATCACCAGAACTTACAGTGGCTTGGTATACGATATTGCTAAAAAGGCATTGGTTATTTAACGGACAAATATTTTTGTCTATGCAGTTACATTTTTTTGATGTTTTATTTTTATCGCTATGTAAAATTTTGTTATTATGTGTATTTATTAAAGACTTGACATTAGGCATGCAACTATAGCTTACTTTAACATAGTTTCGATTAAAAATTTTATGAAGCCTGTGTCCTACTGGAAAGTGTTGGTCAATTAAAGCTAAAAAGCGATTTCCAATTTTAGTTTCAACATTTTTGCTAAACGGGGGGTTGTACCATATAATTTTACGTATGCGATGTCTTTTTTGATTTTTGTTTATTTGCAGTTGGTAGGTGAGTTTTGAATTGTATCCTGATTTACGTAAAGCCTCTTCATACGGAATAATTGAGTTATTGAACACAATTTCATTTACTGCCATATTCAATAATCTTAACTCAATAGTGCGAGGGATTTCTTTTATTATATTAGGTGGATGGTTTGACTCTGAATGAACATACATAAGTTGGTTATTAGGTTTACAATACGGTTGATAAGAACTGTCAATCAGGTTCAATGTTACATCAAGAAAATTGACAATTTTAATATTACATTGGATGGAGATAAGTAGGTTGTTACTTTTAAAAATATGTGTAAAATGCTTTTTGATTTTTTCCATTTGCTGGCCGCTTTTGTTTTCAAAAATAGCAAGCCTGTCGTCACGATACAAGCCAAAATTATTTTTATCGTAATGTTGAGAGAGCTGAAACAACATAAAAATACCAACTAGTTCACAAACTATAAATATAATTTATAAATAAATATAACTATAAATAAATATTTCTCTATTATTTAATAGTATTGAGCACTCTTAAACGCACAAGAGTATTTGTATTATTATTATTATACCATAATAATACATTTTCTATTTTGTATATATATATATATATATATATATATATATATATATATATATATATATATATATATATATATATCAGAACCATAACCACAATTTCAATATTAGGGGAGCCCATATTACATATTGAGGTCCTTTTTTTTTTTTAGGTACCCATAATAGGGGCATTTTAGGGAGAGGCCCAAACATAGCATAGGAAAAGCCCCCAACTTCAAGAGCTGTAGCCTATAGTTCTTTTAAAGGAGGGAGGGGATAAAATATTTGCAAAATATATAAGTTTTTCCCTAATAATTGTAGTTTAATAATTTTTTTTTGGGTCCCCCAGTGGTTACAGCTCTGATATATATATATATATATATATATATATATATATATATATATATATATATATATATATATATGTATATATGCATATATATATATATATATATATATATATATATATATATATATATATATATATATATATATATGCATATATATATATATATGCATATATATATATATATATATATATATATATATATATATATATATATATATATATATATATATATATATATATATATATATACATACACATATATATATATATTTAAGTGTTTTCAAAAAATCATACAAACTTACAGCTTTTTCTAAAACAATATGTCCAGTTTTAGTCTTTTGAAAGTAATTGCAGCAAGTTTTTTATTAAGTGTTTAACTTTAGTATCTAAAAACACATTCCTTATTATACTATTAATTGATTTCAATACATTATTGTACCTAACTCTAACCCTAACCAAGCAAAAACATAAAAATGCCTGAGGTTAGCAATTTTTTGCTGACCTCGTTTTTATCTTTTATAGTAAAACCTTTGTAAAAATGACTTTATGTTTGCCGATTGTAATCTGATGCCAACCTAAAACAGTTTAAGGTCGAAAATTTATTACTCACTTTAGTTTTACTAATTTTGAGGGTTGTGTATGCATACATACTTACTTGTATTTGGGTGGCAGTGGGCAAGGAACTGCTAACTTGTGTATTCCATAATGCAAAAGTGTATCAATGTCTTCATTCTTGCTGAGTCAACTGTGACAGAAGACTATAATACATGAGCTATGTCGCCAACAATCTAAATTAAATAGTCATAATAAAAAAAGCATACAACTTTATAAAGCAGAGAAAACTTATAGAATAACCTATTAGAAAACATGGCAGTTTTGAAAATACCTTCTCACTTAAAAAAGGATTTGTGATTTTGAAACACTATTACATTTTATCCAATAAATATATGAAATCACAAATGAAAAAAAAAATCTTACTAATAGCACATTTGGGAAACATTGATATTTCTCTAAAAAAGCTGCAGCTCTATCAACTACCATTAACCCAGGTTAATAAATTAAAATTCTATACTTAGATCAATTAAAATAAGGATAAAAAATGTAAAAATAAAATTAATTAATAATACCAAATTTACTAATTGAAAAGTATTGTTTTCTTTACTTACTTTACTTTGCATGTATTTTGAAACTTGTAATTGCTTAAAAGAAAACACACACATATATGTCATATATGTGTATGTATGCAGCATACACATGGATATTTAGAAATAGTACCAATACTAATCTTAAGGAAAAACCAATTATATAGTGATAACAACAACAACATTAAAACAATTATAACGAAGTAAGCAATGTTAACAATTATATTTATATTAATATAATAATAACAATAATAATAGTAATAATAATATTGATAAATATTAAATTTAATATTAAACAATAACAATAAGTAATACTGATATGAATAGAAGTAAAATAATGTTGATATTTATATTACATATAATCATACCAAAAGCAATAATAATAACCCACAATGAGCGTAACATTTTACGAACAGTAATTACATTTCTCCAAAATAAAAAGACAAAGATGAGTTTTAGTAGTAAAGTTTAGTGATATAAAGTGAATATAAAAAATAAATTATTCTATGAACAAAAAATGATAAATTATTTCATGATTTTATGCATTGGTTTGTGATGTGATTTGTTATGCTGTACTTAACTGAACAATGATTTAGAATATATAATTTAAGGTTGCTAAAATAATATTGAGAATTTTTTATAGAAGTAAAGAAATTACAGATTGAGGTATGGGTTTAACTTGTGTGTGATTTCAGACAAATAAACAATTTAATAGATAAACAAGAGCACACAATTTAATAATTTTGGAAAAGAATATTAGAATTAGTTGTTGTTGAAAGTAAATTATTTTAAATGTCTTGTTTGTAGATTAGATATTCATAAAAAATTATTGGTTCATAATTTATAAGTATATATAATATATCATAATAGAGTGTTTGCAGTATGTTTGAGAAATAAAATTTATATTAAAAGAGATTTGCTTTTTACTATTACAATCTATTTGACTTTAGAAAAATATATTGCTGGTTTAATACAGTTTTATTAATGTTATTTCATTTATGAAAAAATTGGGTGCTAGGTTTGAATACTACAAACAACTTTTGGTCCAAATACTCCATTCATCGCAAATTTAATAAATAAGTTGCAGCATTAATTTTTACAAAACCAAAATTTAAAAAAAGTTGCTATATAAAAAAGATTAAGTAGCTAAGATCAGCAGCCATTTTAAAATCTTTGAAATTTCTTATGAACTTTTTGAACATGCACTCATAAACATAACGCTTGTAATTGACTGTGCATAATTATAGGTTTTTAAGATTTTGTATAAATTAGATGTCGCGGCCACCAAGAAGATTATCTGTATAAAAATTGTAAAAATATTTTAAATTTAGAAAAAATAATTCTGTAATTTAAAATATTTCATTTCAGAAAAAACACAGTTAAAAAGGCATTGTTTTTCTTTACATGTTTTTAAAATAGCACGGATTTCACTTCGAGCACTCTTATTATCATATTGTAAAATGTAATCAAAAATATTGAAGTTTTGCAATTTAAATAACTTTTTTGAAATAAATAAATATAAGTTTAAAACTTAACTTAACTTTTAGTTAATTAGTAGAAATCAATCAAAAAAAACATTGAAGTTTTTAAAAATATCTCACAGCAATAATTCAAAGATAATGGCAATAATTTGTTTTAATAAAAAATAACATTACCATAAAAAATTAAATTCTAGTTCAAACTTTTGAAATGTATAGAAATATTGAGCAATAAATATAATTATGCAGAATATATGATTCGCTAACAGTTAGCGATTCATTTATTCTACTTAATCATATTTATTGCTCATCTAATATTTTTATACATTTAAAAAGTTTGAACAACAATTTAATTTTCCATGGTAATGTTATTTTTTATTAAAACAAGTTAGTTTAACTTGAAAAAGGGGACATGTTATGTGAATTTTTGCAGGACATGTCCCCATTTTTCTAGTTAGAGATTCATATGTAAGTTCACTTAACTAAAGTTTTAAGTACTTCTGTGGTTACAAGAAACATTTAAAAAAGTATGAAATAAACTTAGACAGTTAAAACTTACATGTATCTAAATTAGTATATTTTTTTCCTTGATTTTTCATACATAAATTGATTCACTATCTCTTCAAAATCTAGACTTTTTGTAACTTCGCTTTTGATAGACATTAATGGCACTAATCATCTTCATAATCTTCATTTTCATTGTTTTCTAGCTCATTTATGAAGTTCTGAATTTCTGATTTAGCTAATTGGCTCATTTATGAAGTTCTGAATTTCTGATTTAGCTAATTGGCGACCTTTATAAGTCATAATTTTTATGCTTTTTTAAGTTAACATTTGGCCGTTAAAATACTTTTTTGTCGGATTTTTTTTCCGGACTGTTGTGGACCATATGTTCATAATTTTAATTTTCAGAAAAGCAACAGAACATGTTAATGTAAAGCATACTTCGGATCTAGCGAGAGCGCCAAAAGGCGTACTTCACCTAAATAACAATATATATATATATATATATATATATATATATATATATATATATATATATATATATATATATATATATATGTATATATATATATATATATATATATATATATATATATATATATATGAATATTATATATTATTATATGAATATATATATATATATATATATATATATATATATATATATATATATATATATATATATATATATATATATATATATATATATATATATATGAATATTGCATTTATGAAAGGCGAGTTCTATAAAATTCTCGTAGTATACAACTCTTTCTGGTTTTGATGGCGATCTTAATGGCAATCAAATCTTAATGGCGATCAAATGAGGATTTTCAGAAGGAGAAATTCAGTGGCTTTAATTTTTCTGAATCTTTTAATTTTTTTTAGGTATACCTGCAGGCATCTACTGATATATGTATACATATATATATATATATATATATATATATATATATATATATATATATATATATATATATATATATATATATATATATATATATATATATATATATATATATATACATATATATATTTATATATATATATATATATATATATATATATATATATATATATATATATATATATATATATATATATATAAACATTCTTTGTATATAATATGTATACATATTTAAATATATATACATATTATATACAAATGTTACAATATTATAAAATTAGAAACAATGTTTCTTATTCAAATATCTTTAAATAAGAAAGGAAATCTAAATAAGAATCAAGTTCTTAAAACAAGAATCAGGTTCTTAAAATAAGAATCAGGTTCTTAAAATAAGAATCAAATTCTTAAAATAAGAACAAAAGTTCTTAAAATAAGAACAAAAGTTCTTAAAATAAGAACAAAAGTTCTTAAAATAAGAACAAAAGTTCTTAAAATATGAACAAAAGTTCTTAACCTAGAATCTTGGATTTTGCTGTGTGATTGGGAAATTAACTTCATAAACAGAAAAATATGTTTTGAAAAAGTTTCATAAATATTATTTGCGTTATCATCAAAATTTATGTTTTTCCAATGCATTAATGATAGTTGGTCTTTAAATAATTTAAGGTTAGTCTTATTATAAATGCGTTTTCTTATTACTACTTTGGTATTAACGTTTCTTTCTGGGTTTGTTTTATTAAGTTTTAGGAATATAGGAAAATGATCTGATATATCAGATCATTTTATGATACCTTTTTGTATATTATTATTGAAAATATCAGTAGTTATAATATTATTTATAAGAGTTGCTGTGTTTATTGTTACTCTAGTGGGTCGTATTGAAAACAAGTAGCATACTAAATAAAACATTCTTTAGTTCAGCTAAACCACTTTTTTATTCATGGCCATTTAAACTATGTTAATGCAGTTTGGGATAGTGTTGGAAAAAGTAAATCAGAACCACTTTATCGCTAACAGAAACATGTTGCACGACTTATTAATTTTAAACATCGTTTTTATTATGCAAAGCCTCATGAAATAAATATTCCTAATATATATTAATTTAATATTTTTAATGTATTGGGTTTTATGTTTAAATGTAAAACTCACACATATCCGATTTCTTTTCACAATTTATATTCTTTAAAAGTTAAAAATAAATACAGTTCAGGTTATGAAATTTTTTTTCTTCAACCAGTCTTCAAAACTAATATTGGTAAATTTTGTATTTCATTTAGAGGAGCATTTTAATGGAACAAATTAATTTTAAAACTTTTCATTTTTCTCAAGAATTTTTTAATTAAAAGAAGACCTTTTTTTAATTAAAAAAAAGAGAAAACTCCTTTTCTCAATCATATATATTTAAGTTTGTTTTATTTTATTATTAATACGCTTAAGAAATCTTTTATTGTAATTTGTATATACTTCTCTATGACAAGATCTTATGATTTCTGTGAGTATCCGGGTTCTTATTGTAAAGTTAACAAAATTTGTAATTCTTATTATATGTATTTTATGTGTTTTATTCATTCTTTTATTGTAAAACTTATTTTGAATAAATAAAAAGAAAAAATAAAAATAAAAAAATAAAATGATTTGATGGTGAAATGGTTTTTAATTGGATTGATGTCGTTGACAGTCCAGATAATGTAAATTGAGATAACTATAACAAACACGAATCAGGGGCAGATCCAGGATTTTTTGGTCTTTCAGATAGCTAACTTCCAGACATAGAGCAAACTCTAAACATTTATATACTTATGTTAAATAAAAATGTTTTGCAAAAAAATGCGATGATTGGAGTCTGGGAACAAAAAAGCACCAAAATTTTTGCTCTCCCTGCCCCAAACGTGAGGAGCAACAAGTTGATAAATTTTTTTTTTATACTTCTTTCAACTAGACTATAATTCCTCGATAAATTTAACTAGGAAATTCACGCTTTCTTCCTTACCGATGACGCAAAGTATGCCCAGAGCTCGCTTCGAACCCTGGATCATTGCTTCTACAGTAAGTGCACTAACCACTACGCTACAACCGCAAAATTTGGCAAAACTATTCCATTCCACAACTAAGGATTACGTATATTTGTCGATAATAAAAAAATCGCGATTCACTTTTTCGAGTATTTCCCCAAGCAATATTTGGTTGATGTAATTAATATGTGATTTCCGTGGAACATTTTCATCGAAATAAATTCCTAAAGACTTTGTTAACTTTATCTATAAAAAATTTGGGTTAGATTTTTGGTATTAGAGATTTTTTTGATGAGGAGTGAACCGGAATATATTTGTTATGTTAACGTTCACGATTAATTTATTTCATTTAAACAAGTTTGATATGTGTTTAAGTTTTTTGTTTACATCGGAAAATAATTCATTAATGTTAGCATTAGATAAGAGTAAACTTGTATCATCGGCAAATATAATTTTGCTTAGTTCCGATGCCTTGTTAAGGTCGTTTATATAGATTAAAAATAAAAGGGGTCCTTAAACCTGTGGAACACCATTATTGTATTACAGCATCCAGCATTATACGGAAAGTATTGTTTTCATTTTGTTAAATAACTTTGATACCATTTTAACAGTATTTAAGTTTTTGAAGTAAAATTTCAAAAGCCTTAAAAAGGTGAACAAAAATATTTATAGTAAATTGATTTTTAACTAAGGAGCAGAGATTTTATAATACGTACAAATTGAATAATTGCGTGTTCCGTTAAACTATTTTTTTTTAACTTATATTTTTCTAAAACCAAACTAATAATGCCCAAGAAATGATTAAAACAAAATTATATTAAGAGAAGTGTTTTTGATGTTTTAACTAGATGTTAACTTCATTCAGACAATTTTTGAGGGAGTATGACTTCATTATTGCCCCGAAAATCCATGTTAAATTTGAGTTATTTGAGTACCAACATGATATAAGAATCTTTTGTGAAATTTTTGCCTTTTATAACTTTGGGGTAAATTAATAGCCCAAATTGTAGCTTTGTGAGGACTTTTGATATTTAAATTTTACTTTTTTTTAATTATCTAAAATTATATTTTAATTTTTTGAGTAAAATAATGGATTAGTAGTAAGGGTAATATTCTTAAAAACAACTAGGCAGTGTTTATTTATTTTTTCCTGCCTCTTCTGAGCCTGTAAAGGGTTTCAAAACATGCTTTCCGTTGAGAATATTTGATAAAGATAGTGGGCTATGAATGCTTTGCTTTCTCGAATTTTTTCAAGCAGTCTTACTTTGCTACTAGAGCTTTTTGCAACGATTTTTTATTAATGTCTTTACTTACGCTGAAATTTAGAGTTTTTAATCAATAAAAATATTTTTTAAGCTTTAGAAAAATTTAAGTTTATGACTAAATAATTATAATTTTTATTTCCGTGAGAAATAATTGATTCAAAAAAATTATTTGAATAAGTGAAATTTCGTTAACTTATTCAGAGTTTTTTCAACATTTAGCCCACTTTAAAGACTTTTGAAAAGTTTTAATTTTTGAAAAACAATTTTTATTTAATATTACTTTAAGTTTTAATAAAATTTAATTCTGTAGCATTACTATCAAACAGTTTTAATGAAATTTAACTAGAAATAAAACAACTTTTTTCCCCTCTAATTATCTTTATTCAATGTTTCTCCTTTTCCAAGGCGGCCACAAATACCATTTAGTCCTTATCACCAAAACGTCTTCATAATAATCAAATGTCAATTTAAAAAAATATTCATTTGTAAAATTTGACATCGGACAAATATTTTGGCAGTTACAGAATATAAACATGAAGAAAACGAGAGGAAAATATAGTAGCACAAAATGGTGTAATATTTTAGGCGGGGATCAGTTAACTTCAAGGCTATTTTTTCACTCCTCTTTGGTGTCAATAATTTCGATGTCTTCTCGAATAAAGAACTCAATTGTTTCTTCCTCAACGTCGCCATACTGACTTTCCAAACTATCTGTATCAACACCTAAAGAATTAAAATGTTTTAATACTTAAAAGTTAAATCTAAAAAAAGTAAATTGTAATTTTTGTTTTTCGTTATTAAAATATATATATATATATATATATATATATAAAAAAAAGTTTTAAAAATACAAGTTAATAAACATTTCAAAATTTAAAAGCGCATTTGTTGAAGTGAAAAATTTTGATGAGGATTTTGATTGCAGTTTTCTTAAGAGAGGAGTTTAGATGTTTATCTATTTTAATCTTAATATCTCTAAAAAATTTTGTACCTATTTTTTTTTTTTCGTTTCCCTTATTTTGCGATATTTCAGTAAATAAAATACCTGTTAAAAATACCTACATAGAATGGCTGGTGACTTTAAACACAAACAAAATCCCGTTGTCTCCAGCTAATTATTGCGATACATTTTTATATGGCAACTCTCTGAGTCTCTACTTTACGTCTTCTCGGATTATCATTTAATACTCATCTCTCATGAAAACCAAAAATACAACCCAATGGAAAGTTAGCATCTGCTAAGCATATTTAGGCTGGTTCTTCTTATGAGGCCCTCTATATTAGACAAGTTTATTTAAAAATAACGAGGCTCTCTCTATTAGACAAGTTTATTTAAAAAATGCGTTATTACAACTTTGGGACTTGTTCTATTTTCTAAGTTTGAGCCTGTTAACTCACAAGGTTTTCACTAGTTTCTGCCTTGAATGAAATGGTTTATTGATTTTAAAACTGGAAAGCATTACAACACAACTAAGTCACCAAACCTTGTGACTTCATTATGATTGATAACGGTTTTGAAGCCGATGAGTTCATGCCTAAAAATCACGTTTAACATAACTTTCTTAAAAGACAACTGCCACCTTTCAAAGAAATTGAAACGAGACTAAAGACTTTGTTTTCCCTTATATTTTTTTAATTTCGCTTTTAGCTAATATGATTCTAATTTCTTTTGACACTTTTCTTAATTTTTCTATAAATGATGAGTGAAAAAGCTTAAAAAACAAATATATTACAAAAATATATACCTTAACTTGCATGTATTGAAAATGTTTTGGATATCCGAAAAAAATATCCGGAATTCCGGAAATATCCGGAAAAAGATAATCTCTGAGTCCAACATATTGACAAAAACTAAAAAGTTTCACATTTTTCAAAATTCAAAGCTTTAGAGAAAAAAGCAAATTAGAAATAATTGATAAATATTATGAAAAAGTAAAAGCTGAAGCTAATTGCAATTATTTTGCTAAATCTTAAATTTCAAAAAAAAAGTGCACTGAAACCTTTTTAGATGCTGATAATCCCTTTAAGAATCTCATGAAACAGTTAGAAAAGCTTGTAGCTCATACCTCCAAGAAAAACAAGCTGTAGTGCCTATGGGTGATTTTTTAATACTACCAAACCAATAACAAAGGATGAAGAAAATATATCAGAGGCGTTAGGGGAAGAATATTTTGCAAAATGAATATAGTGAAGATTTCTTGATGTAACCAACATTCGCCCACATTTGGGTGATGTACATCAAGCCCTGGATGTTTAGCGAAACTTCATTCAATGACAATGGGGATATTCAGTGACAAAAGGGAGTGTAATCATATTAAATATACTTTAACATTAATTAAAGAAAATTTGTTTAACTAATATCTACTATATCTAATATCTCACTAATATCTCACATCTTCTAAAAAACTATTTCCTTGGTCAGAGATTTAACTTTAAAAAGTATATATGAAACAAAAATTATTATACATTAAGAATGAGTTAATGATTTAGTTATTATAATTATTAGCTTCATTGAAATTGAACAAATCCTAAACTTTGTGTAACTTTAATCATTAGGAATATTTAAATTGTTTTTTAACATTGTTTATGCGTTGCGTTATTTAAAAAATTATTTCCTTTTGCAAAAACGCTAAGATTCATTTTGCAAAAAGATTTCAAAAAAGTCTCATAAATTGTGTAAAAGCAACCATAAAACATCATTATTTGTTTTAATAAAGGTGAAGTGTTTTTATTTAAAAGAATTTTTTTTCACTCAAAATCTTGTTAAGTTCGTACGACAAAACTTTTATTTATAAGCAAAAATTATGTTTTCAAAATATAGCTCTGTTTAAATACATTAAAAAAAAAAAAAAAAAAAAAAAAAATGTGATAAAATAAACAAAAGATTATTATGTTTTGTATAAAATATTTTTAAGAAATAAATAGTAAAGGTAATAATTTTTTTTTAAATAACGAATTTAGATTTCATTAGTAATTTTTGTTAGTTATTGTTTAAAAGATCTTAACGCGGTGTAAAATATGCTAACGCAATTTAATTTTTATTGATATAAAATCATTCCTTAAAAATGATTTTTATTTTCATTTCCAACGAGCCCCGCTATGATCTCTTATCTAATGCAAAACGACTTGCCTCAATAGACGAATTAATATCTGTGCAGACTACATTCGTTCAGACCTTACACCCCTCGAACAAGAAATATTCAACAACTTAAACAAAAAACATGCAACCGAGAAATGCAGAACTATTGGCAAAAGATTTACTTGACAAACCCTTTCAATTTGTCATCTGCAGTAGAAAATTCAAATACATTGACACATCCAAAATAGTCAACACCAATGGAAGAGAGAGGAACCCATTCCTCAAATGGAAATCAGCAGCTGAGGTCGTTCAATCGCCCTCAGCATCTTACTAGTTCAACATTTTTAAATAAGGCCAACTCTTTCATTAAATTATCTTATCTTTCTAGTTCTACACTAATGCAACCTCCCTCAATCCAATACAATGGTATCATCATTGCCGGTGATTTCAATTTCCCAGAGATTACTTGGACTTCCAATTCAGTCTTCTCCTCTAGTAAAATCGGTCTTAATTCTTCATTTATCTATCTTCTTCAAGATTGTCATCTTCAACAAATCGTCACTATCCCTACTTCAAACCTGCTAATCGCCCTATGACAAACACTCTTGATCTCATAATATGTGACTCTCCATATCGTGATAATGAAATCAACATTGGTCATCCACTCGGTTTATCTGATCAATATCATTGCTTTATCACCTGGCAATATAAACTAGCTTCCACTGTAAAAATATCGCATTTCAACAGCTTTAAATTTATTTACAACCTTGGTAACTACGAAAAAATCAACAAAGAATTCAATAAGGTTATTTTATATCTATTTTTAAAGACTTAAACGTAGAACAATGTTACCAACTTTGGCTAAACAAAAACAATAAATGATGTCTTCAATTCATCCCTCGAATGCCGAAAAAACCATCTCCAAATAAACAACCATGGATGACAAAAGAACTTTTATCTCTGATTTGTCTTAAAAAAATCGCTGTGGGCTCATAAGGTCAGTTCAAAATGGAAAATCACATCCCTGGTTGAAGAATATAGAGAAACTAGAAAGTTTGTTAAAAAATAAAGTCATTCTTCTCTGAAATCCTTCGAATTTGCTCTTGCAAATGATAAGTGCTACCCTAAAAGACTATTTTCATACATAAATAGTAAACGCTCTATAATAAATCAGATCTCATCTATGCGAATCACCAGTTCGAAATCGTTAGCTCTAAAAAAATTAAAATAGCTAACTCACTTAAAAATCAATTTCAAGCAGTTTTTAATAAAAGAGCCATCCAATGACAATCTTCCCCATTTTGATCGTATAGCTAAAAAAATCCTCAACAACATATCTTTTGACACTCAGACCACTCTAATGGAACTTTCACCACTAGATATATCTAAATCACTTGGTGTAGACAATGTCAGTCCTCACATTTTACGCTTTTGTTCTACCTCAATGTCTAGTCCACTTACTCACATCTTTCAAAAGTAATTTGACAATGGTGAAATTCCAAACTCATGGTCCAAAGCAAATGTAACACCTTTAAAGAAGGTTTAATTAAAGAAGGGCTCCAGAATCAACCCATCAACTCCTTTCGAGTACTCGATGGAAAATATGGGTCTTTGTTCAATAACGTGTCAAACTACATTGGAAGCAAACAATGATCTTAAAGTAGAAACTCAATCCATCTCAATCCATGTAAAGCAAATAAAATACTAGGCATCCTAAAATACTTTCCAATCTTGTGATGCTTCTTTATGAAAAAAACTCTAACCTACCTACATCCATCCTTTACTTGAGTTTGCAATTCCAGATTGAAACCCTCATTTGGTGAAGGATGAACAAACTATTGAGCTAATACAGCCCAGAGCCACAAAAATACCAGACAAACTGAAAAAGTTTATTTTTACTTTTGTTGACTACAAGTCTAGATGTTTACAACTTGGCCTAACTAATAGTTGAACGTCGTAACCTCATCAAAAATATAAAATTATTAATAACATTGATATAGTCAATTGGCACTTTCCCCTCATCATAAATCCACCAAAAGCCAAATACAGAGAAAAACTTCACCATGAAAAGTACAGCAACCATTTCACTCGCTTCCACTTTTTTAACAATCACATTGTCAATGCATGGAACATGCTACTGGTTACTAAAACTTGCAGCTTTCCTTAACTAGTCCTATGCAATATGAGATTCACAAAAACTAACTGAAACTAACTTATATGATCTGACAATCTATGATTTGTATTTTGTCAATTATTTTTACTTTTGTTGTAACAATTATATACTACTACTTTAATGTGAATAATTTTTAAAGAATTTTTTA